CCCTCCCCCACCACATAGCCGCACGGAGCCAACCACCGTCCACCACGCACGCGGCCTGGACAGGAAATGACGAAAAAGCCCTCGGCGGGGGGCAAGATTTACGTGCGGTGGCACGAGATATTTACCGCAGGCGCGCGCACGACTGAACGCACCGGCTGCACCCGCACACCCGCTCGCTGACGGGCGCGGCCCACCCGCCGGGACCCCCCAGGTCAGCGACAACCGGTCAAACGGAAGGAGTAATCGACGGGGCAAGCCAAACGGGATCAACCATGCTACAGGGGAGGGGGATTCGATCCGACAGCCGACGTCCTTCCACCGCTCGATCGGACGCCCAGAAACCCATCAAGCAAATTGATCCGATGGTCAAAATGCGCTAACCGCTGAGAGCGCCGGTGGCTCCCTTCGTCTCATATTTCTGGATAAAGCAGGGCAATAATCCAGTTATCTTTGATCAAGACCAAGAAATGAATTAGTTGTCCCAGCTAGCCACTATAATTCTGCAACCAACAGACCATTGTTTCCGGAATGTAGCAGCAATCATGTAAACAAAGTGGGACTAAATATGGTATTGCAGAACAACGAACTATCCGTAGGTACACAACAACCTAAAAATGGCATCCAGCAGGGCAACCTAAAAATGTAACTAAGCTCATGAGCAACCCGTAGCAACAATAACAGCAGTTCCAACAACAATATCCTAGGATAACATCATACGAAAGAAAAAAGATCGAGCGTGCGTGCGTATAGGAAGGCATGAAGGAAGCGACAAGAATAGAGTAGCACCTGAGCTGGTACCAGCCACCAACAGCCAAGATCATGAGACAACCACAAGCAACAACAACAGCAGTACCGGATGTGTAAACAGATTGCAGAACAATACCAAAAGTGCATCTGAAAAATGGATTAGAGATTTTAACAATACGGACATGCAGTTCCCAATAAATTAAGCTCCTGTAGCAGGTGATGGTGCCGGTCAACATTGTTCACAAATACAGATATGAAAAACGAAGAAATAAATTAAGGCATAAGACTAAACTATGACATTCCCATTCAGCATTCTATTATACTGTTAAGAATGCCATTGGTCTGCTTGGCCTAGCATGGCGAAAACATCTGAACTGCTATAGATTCAGAGATATGTGCAAAAAATAAATATCAAAGGAAGCCTCATGAACTGTTTGTAAGCCTGCAATTGTAGGCTTTACTCTTATAATTATTAAATTGCCTAGAATACAAAATAAAATGTTGAATCATCTGATGTACAAAGCTAAAGACAAGTATCAAAGGAGGTATAATCAGTATGCAGTATTATCACGGTGCTAGATACTACTATTCCAAAACACCAAAACATACAAAATACACCTAGAGGAATTCTACCTGAATTAGTATCACCCAGGTGGAACACACCTAGAAGCTGAATCTTTTGAGTTTTTATTTACCTTGAGCTATCTCCTCTTGTTGTAGTTGGGGCATGAAGAGTTTATCCTTCAAAAAAAATGAACATGTCTCCTGCAATGAGATAGCCTTTTTCATTAACCTATGATTTCCATAAAGAGCATATAGTTAAGAATGCAGGGTGGCACAACAGAAGGAAATGAAGAACCTGTAATATAATGATGATGGCAGCCACAACCAACAATGTGAGTAAGATGGATAGCAAACTTAATAAACGGGGCAGCGGCCTATGCAGCCAATGCAAAACCTGTGTCGAAGTTGGGTTCATATATATCCTCCTAATCCTAAGCACATAAAGATGTTATTTGAACAATGGCTGACAGATTGCTCAAAGTTCAAGTGCATTGTTCAGCATCAGCTCTCAATAATTTGTGCTTAATCCTGTACCAATTATATACCTTGTGGATTTACATACTTGAGGATACACCAAATCCATAAATGAAACAAGAGTGCATAAAAAAGAGCATATATAAGTGAAGAAGAATGTAACCTTGTAACTATATTTGAGGTAAATTTGAGCAGTTCCACTAATCTTCATAGGCAAAGTATACATCCAATGCCTAATTAGCACTCCCACTTCCCATACATAATCAGGAGCAAGGCCAAGGATTGATGCCCAAATCCCTCTATCAAAAAAGGATGCTCTGCGCTAGCTCCATGAATAAATGAGTACTCGTCCATGCCATTTTAACCTGTCACACACCAACAATATGGAAGATAAAACATTTAGCTTTCGGAAAATGGATTGTTACATGGGTGAAATTAATTACTAACAACTACTCAACCATGTTATATTTATTATCATGTTCAAGGTAAGTAACTTAGCGAGCCAGTGCCAAACCTTTCCCTTCCCTTGTCACCCCTGATAAGGACAAATCAGGCAGCAGGCAAAAAAAAGGTAACAAAAACATAGGAATCTAGGCAGACCACGACAACCTCCTACACAACAACAACAATATCCGAGCACCTAATGCATCCCAGCACCAGACAAATTAAGAAAGGCAACAAAAATCTACCCCGGATACAGGCACGAGGCCTAGTCTCCTGCAAAGCAACAACAAATACCAGGGATCCAAACAGAACCGAGCACCTAATCTATCCAAAGGAATCCGATCAGAACCAGGATCGAGCAACCAATGCATCCAAGAAAAAGATTCGGGCAGTCAACACATCCAAAAAGCTACAGGAGCTGCACATAACAACTAATAGCTCTGCTAGACAGGAAGGAAAAGGAAGAGCTCGCCAACCACGAACCTTGCAACATCTCGACACGGCAACGAACAGCAGGCTGGCCGAAGCTTCGACAAACGGAACAAACAACAACTAGAGAGGACCTGCAATGATAAATCCGACACAAAATCAATGTAAACATGAAAACCTAGAACCGAAAGAGAAGATAGACCAGCATCTCTAGGCAAGAGAATGGATCACCTGGGCGTCGTCGGAGTGGATGTGCTTGGAGAACCGACGCCGGCGGAGGTCGTGTCGCGCCAGGGAGCACCGACGCCGGCGGCGGCCTTGTCGCGCTGCGCCTCCTCGGCGCTGAAGGGTGCTCCAGCACCATGCACGAAGCAGGGGGTCGACGCATGGGATTGGGGGCCGGTGTCGCCCTGGGCCTTCTCTCCGCCGAAGGGCACTCCGCCAGCGTCGATGGATCAGGGGTTGGAGGCGCGGGATCGGAAGCCGGCGTGGCGCAGAGGAGAGGAAGAGGAGAACGCACGCGGGGGAAGTCGAGGAGGACGAGCGGCGGCGGCGTGAGGAGGCCGAGGGCAGCGAGCGCTGCGGCGCCATGGATTGGGTTCCGGGGGAAGATTCGGATTGAGGGGGATGGGGGAGGAGAGACAGAGAGAAGGGAACGAAGGGGGCGAACGAGAAGCGACAACCGGTCAAACAGAAGGAGTAATCGACGGCGCGAACCAGACGAGATCAACCATGCTACAGGGGAGGGGGATTCGATCCGACGGACGAGATCTGCCGGCGGCTCGATCCGACGGCCGGAACTCCATCAAGCGAACCGATCGGACGGCCAGGAGGCCCAAATCGCTGAGGAGCCAGGGAGTTCGAGCGGATTCGTTTTTCTGGATATTTTCCCACAGCCGGGTCTGATTACCTTGAGGCCTACACGGCGTCCGTCTTGGGTGCCAAACCTGAGGTGTTCTGACAAAAGGATATGTTCTCCCTGCACCAAAAATTACAGCCGACAGTCAAAAGGAAAAACGAGTTACAGTCGATCCTACTCTGCCAAAGCTTCTACCCTGTACCCTGAAGCAAAAGTAACAGGACCAGTATCTGAAGCCACGTTTTAATGCCTGATCTGATCTGAAGCGCCTCCCAGAAGGAAATGTAGATGGAAGGAGGTGGTAGTGGTGCTGTCACTTTTACTCTCAGATCCGGCCGGAACCTGCAACGCAACAAAGATCAGTAACAACAACATGGCACCGGAGCAGAGCCCAGAGGTCAGAGGAGGACCGAGGCTCCTAAATGCGCAGCATGCGTGCCGCGTGCCTAGTACTATCAGCTACTCCAGTACAGTACATAGGTAGCCTGGGCCATCATCACATTTGAAATCTCAAAACAGGCCAGACTTTATTTCGTGCCGCGCATTTACAACCTGATAACAGGGTATCCAAAATGTAGCAGCACACCACACCACACATTTACAGTAGAGAGGGGAAAAGATGACGATACAATCAGTGATCAGTGTCACCGGACCAGACTGAACTGAAGTGGTTGCTGCCAAATTGATGCAACCATTGATTAACTACTAGTAGTAACTGGCTAACTGCATAGAGCAGAAACTTAGCTTGCGACGAACTGTCAGGTTCCTGAGCAAGGAACATACCAACCGATCCATGGAACTGGAGCTGAGAATGAAAATGGCAGCTTAGCTAACAAGAAAGAAGTTAACGCAACGGCAACGATCACTCATTACTGGGGGGCGCCGAGCTGCTGTAGCACAGTGGCCATGGCGGGGCGCTGGCCAGGCGCCTCGCTGGTGCACAGCAGCGCGATCCCGGCCAGCTTCGCAGCCTCGGGCCTCGAGAACCTGGCCCCGAGGCGGGGGTCCACGAGGTCGTCGAGCTTGGCGGCACCGCCGGGCTCCGCGTCGCCCACGGGGCAGCGGAGGAGGTGCTGCGAGACCGCCTTCTTGCCTGTGAGCACCTGGAACACGACCACCCCGAAAGCGTACACGTCGCTCTTGTCCGTGAACCGGCCGGTGGTCGTGTACTCCGGCGCCAGGTAACCCATGGCAGCGCTGCCCTTGAGCGTGGAGAAGACCACGTCGTCGGCCAGCAGCTTGTGCACGCCGGAGCCAGAGAGGCGGGGCACCAACAGGTGGTCCAGGAGCACCTTGTCTGCCGAGATGTTCTGGTGGACAAGAGGGGGCTTGCTCGGTTTGCTGCTGTGCAGGTACTCGATTCCTGAAATAATTCAGAATTTCAGTACGTGCAGAGAGTAGAACTAATCACTAGGTTATATAAACATTGAAATGGCCCAGCAATTTTAGTTTGTTCACTTTCACGAAATGCAGCTTAAGTATTACTGGCAACAACAACAAAAATGTTGGCCCCGGAAACTTAGGCTGTCTATTTCATGTTTCAACAGATAGAAATGGTGGTATATTATACCTTTGGCAATGCCGCTGATGATGGAGACCCGAGTTGGCCAGTCGAGGATCCTCGTCTCGGCGTCTCCGTCCTTGATATCCAAATACCGGGAAAGGCTACCGTTCGCCATGAACTCATAGACGAGGAAGCACTCCCCTCTAGCACGGGAGCGGCAGAAACCCCTTAAGCCAACAAGGTTCTCATGCCGCAGCGATGTAAGCATGCGGAGCCCTTTCAAGAAGTCGGCCTCCTCCGACTTACAGCTGCTCTTGTTGATGCTCTTGACGGCGACGACCGAGCCATCCCGCATTATCCCTCTATGTGTCGCCGCAAAGGTGCTCTTGCCAAGCACATTGATGTCCGAGAAGTACTGCGTCGCGCACTCCACCTCTTCTAGATTGAACCTCACACTCGGGGACCCCTCCGGCGATAGCCTTACTCCGTGCTGTGATCCCTCCGACGAAGTGTCCCAGCCACTGGAATACTCAACATTGATAAGTGAGGAGGCACTCTTCTGATATGTTTCCTTTGATTGCTCCAAACTAGGCCTGCCTTTCAAGCTCTCCACAGAGCAACCAACCTTCTGCTTCTGCCGGCGGTGCCACGAGAAGACAGATAGACCACAAGCCGCCACACCAGCTATAATAATGATTGTTCCGGCAAGAACAGCTCCCGAAGAGAGTGTCGATGACCTCGAGCATGCGCCGTTGTCGCAATTTCTGTTTTGACTGGTATTTTGTGGAGTTTGCTGTGGTTTGATGGAGGTTGATTCGGGTTTATGCGGCATTTGATCATCGACGTTCTCATCGTTAGGACAGGCTTTCAGAGTATCAAAATGAGACCCGCAGAGCTCTAAATTGTTGTCAAACTTAAACCCGTGACCCAATTTCTTCAGACCTACAGAATATCAGTGGACAATTCAGATGGTGCAGAGGCAGTGAAATTGTAACCATGGACACCATTGTTGAACACTACCTACCAGAAGGAACACTTCCTGAAAGTGTATTGTTTCGGAGGTCCAATGTTGCAATCTGTGGGATACCGGCAAGCTTGGAAGGGATGGAGCCAAACAGGTGATTGGAGCTCAAGTCCAGACGTGTCAGCTCCGGCAAGTCCCCTAGAGACGCCGGTATCGCCCCGGTGAGTTGGTTGGACTGAACGGCAAGAACAGTGAGCTTCTTGAGCTCACCCAGCTGAGTTGGGATGCTCCCTGAGAGCTGGTTGTAGCCCAGCTGCAGCACTGCAGGAATGAAGAACACAAACTTCTCAGCCATTTACCATTAGAGAAGAACAATCGATTAGCCATTTTAGCCATTATACTGTTGCAAATTGATTAGTATTCCAACTTTTTGGTACGGCTAATTAATCAAATCCTGGAAGTGGACAGATGATTAATTATAATGGCCACTGTGAGCTGTAGGAACAGTCCATGTACAGGGAATAAATGTGGATCGCATTTCAGAGGTTGAATGCACACATCAAGTAGCCGTGCAAGCGAGTCCGCATAGGACAAGATGTAATCAGAAGAATTCAAAGTTTTGGTCCATGCAGGTATTTAGCAGCAGACAGGAAAATGGGAGGGCGAGCCACCAGTACAAAACAAAACAAAATGTACTGTACTTGACAAATTCAAATTCTGAGTACCAGATGTGTACCGAATGTCATCAAATTCAGGATAAGAAATACACGTACTACGTACCCAGAAGTACTAAAACTGATTTGCCAGATTACAAATATAACAATGTGGGATTATTTTTTCGGTGCCACTTTCAAAACTGAAGAACTCGCTCAGTAGTAAGTACAGTACCTTGGAGGCGATGGAGGCGGCCGAGCTCGATGGGGATGCCCCCGGACAGGTTGTTGACGCCGAGGTAGAGCTCCGCGAGGTCGGGGAGGTCGCCCAGCTCGCGAGGGATCGCCCCGCCCAGCTCGTTGTAGTGTAGGTACAGCCCGGTGAGTCCCGGGAGCATCGCCACCGCGGGCGAGACGCTCCCGGAGAGCCGCCTCCCCTGCAGGGAGACGACGGAAACCCTCCCCCGAGAGTCGCAGGAGACGCCCTCGAAGTAGTCCCCGCGGCCGCACGGGTCCCCGCCGCGGGACCACGACGCCAGCGCCGGCGCGCGCCCCGACGGGTCCAGCGCCGCCTTGATCTCCATCAGCGCGTCCGTCTCGGCATTGCCGGAGTTGGACGAGGAGGAGGTCGAGGCGACGGACGCGAGGAGGAGCAGGATGAGGCGGACGAGCAGGGCGTTCTTGGAGGCCATGGGAAAGGGAGGCGGGGATGCAGAGGCAGAGAACAGCAGAGTAGCAGCTTCGGGTGTGCGGAGGGGTTGGAATTTGGGGGCTTATAGTGGGGTTTGCGGTAAAAAGGACGATGTGGGGGTGGTGGGGTCAGTCAGTCAAAAGGCGTTTGGATGGACTGTAAAAAGGTGGAAAGCGGAGGGGGGTTTACGGGGATTTGCGATTCGCGTTCGATTACACGTCCACGTGTGGGATGGATCAGATACCGTATCTGTGTCAAGTGAGTCAGTACGATCCCCTGAAGATTGACAAATACAGTAGTACTCCCTTCGTTCCTAAATATTTTTTTAGAGATTTCACTATAAACTACATAAGGATGTATATAGACATATTTTAAAGTGTAGATTCACTTATTTTGCTTCATATGTAATTCATAGTGAAATCTCTACAAAGACTTACATTTAGGTACAGACGGAGTACTACCGTACTTCAAATTGCGTCTTTTTTTCGAGAGTACTCCAAAATGACGTACTATATTTTTATAAAAGGCAGAAGATAATTACAATCAATCTAGCAAGATGCGAACATCCTATTTGACAAACACCAACACCGAAACGAATACAAAATCGCTCTCTCACAAAAGGATCTAAGCCTCCTACACCTAAACCAGTGAGCGATCACTCCCTGGTCTCCGAAAGCACAAGCATCACCAGTTGCTCGGGCGTCCTTTAATCGTGCACTCTATTGAACACCCTCGTGTTTCTCTTCCACAACGCCCATGCCGTGCCGATCACGAAGGAGTCAAAACCACAACGAATTTTGCCTAAGAACCTCGTCCTTTGTTGGGACCACCACTCGGTAAATGTGGTACTCTGGGTTGGCGGTGCAATGTCCATTTGCATCGTGTCAAAGCAACGATGCCAAACCTCCCGCACGTAGACACATCTCGCGAGAATGTGATCTACGTTGTCCTGGTCCTGCAAGCAGGTGAAGCAAGCGGATGGCTCGTCCTGGAGCCCGTGCCGAGCGCGCCTGCCGGAAGTCCATAAGCGGTACTGGACCATGAGCCAAGCGAAGATCTTGCAACGCAGCGGTGCCCAGCTTCGCCAGATGGCCATGGCAGTCGGCGAACGCACTAAGCCCATACATAGTTTCTGGTAGTTCGATGTAGACTTCAGACTTGTCAGCATGCCAACTGAACTGATCAGGAAGGTTATCGTCCCGCGGCACCGTCGCAGTGGCAAGGCACAGATGAGCCACCTGCATATGCGCTAGGAAAGAGATGTCACCTTGCACATCTCGCGACCACGTTATCCATTAGAGCCTGCCGGACAGTCCTGGCGTTGCGCGCCCTGGTGTTAACCATCTCCAAGATCATCGGAGCGATCTCGCCAACCGTGAATCCATGAATCCATCTGTCTGTCCAAAACATGGCCCTCTCCCCATTTCCAAGTGTAATCTTGATGAAGCTATTGAAGATCGATTCGACCTCAGCGTCCACAGCTAACGGGATGCCCTGCCATGGTCGGAGATGATCCGTTCTGCGAAGCCATTCCCAGCGCACTCTCAAATCAATGGCCTGCAGACTCAGATCCTTGATGCCCAGCCCACCAAAGCTCGTTGACCGGCAAATTGTGTCCCATGCCACTAGGCACTGCCCACCATTGACTTTGTCTTCCCCGGCCCAAAAGAAAGCCCACATCCATTTGTTGATTTGCTCGAAAACCCAAGCCTAGGCATCAAGAACCATGATTTGGTGTATCGGCCTTGCAGAGACCACTGATTTGAGAACGATGAGCTTGCCTGGTCTGTGTATGAGCCCTTTCTTCCACATTGGAACCACCTTCCTGAACTGATCAAGGAGCGGGTGCCAATCTGCGCGGCGCAACTGGTGGATCATTAAAGGAATGCCGAGATACTTGCACGGAAATGTACCCAATTGGCAGCGAAGAATCACTCTAACTCTCTGCCCATCCTCCTCCGCTCCATGAATTAGGATAGCCGCTGATTTGGCGAAGTTGATCTTGAGCCCCGATGCTTCACCAAAGACCTCGAGGATCTCTCTCACGCAATGCAGATCCTATGTATCCGGCTTGACGAACATGGCAACGTCGTCCGCGTAGATGGACAGCCTTTGCAAAGGCAGGATGTCATGGAACAAACTAAGCACGCCCGCGTCTGTGGCTTTGCAGATCAACGCTGTAAGCACGTCCATGGCGATCACGAAAAGTAGGGGGGGCATCGGGTCCCCTTGGCTCAAGCCTTTAGCATGATAGATTGTACGTCCCGGGCTCCCATTCACAATGATCTTTGTGCTTGCTAAAGATAGCAGCGTGGAGACCCATCCGGTCCACCTCCATCCGAAACCCCTGGCCCTCAAAACTTCCAGAAGGAAGGGCCACGAGAGCAAGTCGAAAGCTCTTGAGATATCAAGCTCAAGGAAGAGACCCTTGATCTTAGCCGCATAGATTTTGCGGACGACTTGCCTAACTAGGAGGTAGTTATTATAGACGCTTCTTCCTTTGATGAAAGCTCACTAGTTTGCGCTGATTACTTCGTGCAATCTCCTGCGCGCCCGCGTGGCCAGAATCTTGGCAAAGAGCTTAGAGAAGTTGTGAGGGAGGCTGATGGGCCTAAAATCCTTAACCTCCAAGGCCTCCGCAGTCTTAGGAATCAGCACAATGTGCGCCTTATTGATCTTGCAAAAAAACCTGCCGTCCCCCACATACAGCTTAAGCAAGGCTGCCATAATGTTGTGATTAATCACCGGCCAAGCTTTGTGATAGAACAGCCCGATGAAGCCGTCGGGGCCAGGGGCTCTATCCGGTGGGAGCTCCTTGATCACGCTCCAAACCTCCTCCTCTGTGAACATCTCCTCCATGTCCGTGAGGTTTAGCTGTGGCAAGCCAAGCAGATCGAGATTTAAGGAGTGCTCACGCGTATTGGTCGTACCCAACAGCCTGTCATAGACCCCGGCAAACATGTCCTCAATTATGCCTTGGTCCATGAGGATCTCCTCCTCATGCTTAAGCCGAGCGATATAATTCTTTGACCTCCTGTCGTTGGCCATGGCCTGAAACAGCTTAGTGTTGGCGTCCCCCTCTTTCAACCACCTGATGCGCGATATCTGATGATCAATTGTCCGCTGGAGCGAGGCAAGGCCCAACAGCGCAACCTTGAGCATCTTCCACAACCACCATTCCATGTCCGAGAGCTGGCGAACTTCCGAGGCTTGGTCGAACCTTAGAATAAACCAGTTGGCCACAACCATGAGGGTTTTGATGTTGCCAGCTTTTCGTTGCCCCCAAGCCTGAAGGTAGACACTCGTATTTCTATATAGAGCATCCAAGCGTTTGAACGGATCCACAATCTCCTCGTTACAAGTCCAGGCCTCCCGGATCGCATCGTCAAAGCCCTCCAATTTAGTCCAGAAGATCTCGAATCGAAATCGCTTCTTATGATGAAGATGAGTGTTTGTCGACAGATGCAAGGGGGCATGGTCGGAAACACCCGTGGAGAGGGCTTGGAGCAGGTGATCCGGGTGCAACAACTCCCAATAAACCACTCCAACACCCAGTCTATCTTTGTGAAGGTGGGAGCATTTCTTTCGTTCGACCAAGTGAACATCCGACCATGCATATAGAGCTCCTTTTAGCTCATGATCATCCATAAAGCTTCGGAATTTGTTCATCGTCGTTCGGTTAATGTGCTCGTTGCTCTTCTCCGACGCCCCCAGGATCATGTTGAAATCTCCTAGCACCATCCACGGGCCAGGGCATAAAGCTCTACAGGCATATAGATCCAGGAGGAATTGCGTTTTGAGTTCATCACCCTGGGGCGCATACACTGCAGAGATCCACCACTTCTCTCTGTCCTTATTAGTCACCATGCCCGTAACAAAGTTGGAGTCCAATTGGATGTGGTCAATTGTGATCACCGTGGTGTCCCAGGTGAGCAAGATGCCACCATAGGTCTCCTCCGCCGGCAAATAAGCAAAACCCTCAAAGGACGGCCCGACACATTGCATTACAACGAACTGATCGATTACATCAAGTTTAGTCTCCTGTAAATAAACCAAATTGACTTTCACCGAAGTAACAAACTCCCTCACTGTCTTCTTCTTCGTGGGGTTGTTGAGTCCGCGCACGTTCCAGCACAAAACCTCTGGGTTGTACATCTTTGGAAAGCTAGGCGTCCACCCACACCAGTGTGCGCATCAGAGCACGACGATGGCCGTGTCCCGCGCACCCGCCAATTCCTCCGTGGGCGTCACAGCCTTCCCGAATAGCGCCATGATTACCCTGATGTGCTACTCGCACAGAGGCGAGTCAAAAAGACTCTGGAGCTCTTGCACTGCTGCCTCGTCAGCCACCAAGTCATCAGGAACAAGGCCGAGTGCGCGTAGCAGGACATTCTCCGCCGATTTTGGCTTGGCAGCGCTGACATTGGCACTTCTCTTTGCAGCCCTGGTCATCCTCTTGGGGGCGAAATGCTCAACCTCGGGGCGGAGGGAGGAGGCTTGCACCTCACGGAGGAGCGGGGGTGCCAACTTCTTCATGGGATTGTTGCAGAAGGCCTTGAGCCTGTCGAAGGCTCTAGATTCTTGCGCCGTCATCCCTCCCCGAGCACGCTCGGTAACCGCAGTCGTCATCGTGCGCTGCTCCTCAGTGCTAATCTCTCTAGCAGCAGGCGCGGGTGGGAACAACTCCCTTGCATGGCTAAGACTCGCACAACTCCAAGTTCCAGTCCACGAGCGGCCGGGGCATGCAACCCCTCGGCTCCACCAACGATCTCATATGCATGTGCATGGTTCCCATCAATCCCCTCTGCCCCACCAGCAGTCTCAAACGCATGAGTCCCATCAGTCTACTCTGGTGGGGCCCCGTGCATGGCCTCCTGAGTGGTGGGATCGGGTGACACCAAATCCCGAGCTGCACCCAGCGCCAGAATCGACCCCACCAAAGCATCCCGCTCACCGCCATGAGCCTAGCAATCCGAGCCTAGTTGCATGCACTCATTGCCA